AACATAACCATAAATATCAATATACTATACTATAATATTCAAATGTAACCACCATAAATATGTAAGATCTTAGGCAAACAGTGGTATATATAACTGTAGCAGTGTAGTTTCACTTATATACATACTGTCCTTATGCAAGTCCTGCGGGTAAACTTATGTACTCCCCCTTTTTACTCTTAACTGTAACGGTGCCACGGCATTTAGATGTGCTTGTTCCAGGAAAAGCCTTTTACACAAAACTCCTATATCCACATTAAACTAATGTCTTTGTCTCAGTGGCCAAATCATCCCTCGGGTGGAGTACACGGAGGAGGAGAAGGTCACATGGGGGACGGTGTTGAAGGAGCTGAAGACCCTGTATCCGACTCACGCCTGCCGCGAACACAACCGGGTGTTCCCCCTGCTGGAGAAATACTGCGGCTACAGGCAGGACAACATCCCCCAGCTGGAGGACGTGTCCCGCTTCCTGCAGTGTACGCATGAGCATGGACCCAGAGCTCTAACATATAAAAGATTCAAATATGTATTGTCTTATGCCTAATCACTACAGCATAGTTGTTGGTAGGGTTCCAGGCTCTTCAACACTGCAACATACAATATACTTAAAAGACAAAATAACTAAGGAAATAAAATAGTGAAGACAATACTAAATGTAATGCAATATATTCCCCTCTGTGGGACAAATCAGAATACTTTACTTATCCCAGGGGAAAATTGGGTTTTGTGACATTTGCTCCATTTAAGAATGAGATAAAATATAATAAAAAATACTAAAATAATTCAAATATTCATATAAGAACTTAAAATCTGAATTAGCAATAAAAGATAAAATAAAATAGAATACCTGCCGCCCTAATAATGTTCAAAAGGTACGTATCACTTTAATTGGGATCTTTAGGGATATTTCCAGGTTACGAAAAGGTAAAAGGCAAATCAGATTTCAGCTTTCCCATACATTTAGCTACATTTATTTTGACATCAATATATGAGTTTTCTTATTCCTAATGCTGCCTTTTGGAAAAGGTTGAGTTTTCATTCCCATGAAACCTTTGTATAATTGACCGATGATGCCTTGCTTTAATATATATCTGAGTCATTATTGAGCCCTGACTCTTTTTAAATACTGTTAACCCTCACCTCTCCTCCCGCAGCGTGCACAGGGTTCCGGCTGCGCCCGGTAGCCGGCCTGCTCTCGTCCCGGGACTTCCTGGCGGGCCTTGCTTTCCGCGTCTTTCATTCCACGCAGTACATTCGTCACAGCTCCAAGCCCACATACACACCTGAGCCGTGAGTGTCCGGAAGACTATGCATAACACAAGGAAATATTATGTCATTGTTTGATTTTTAAAGACTCATTTTGGTTTCTAATGCAGGGATATCTGCCATGAGCTCCTGGGACATGTTCCTCTGTTTGCTGATTCCGGTTTTGCCCAATTCTCACAGGTAAAGACATAACAAATACAACATGTAGTATGATTTAGGGCTGCATGATATGAGGAAATATGCCACATTGTTGTTAAAACATTGTAATACTTTAACTGCAACAATTACAGTCTTTCTGCCTCCTTGCTGATTTTGTTTCAACTTTTTGGGTCTTTGTTTTGCTGTACCTACTCTCTCTTAGAGGAACAATTACAATTAAAATCGTTTTAACATATTTCTGATTATGATTACTAATCCTTATGCTTTGATTGTACTCTGTGTAGGAAATTGGCCTCGCCTCCCTCGGTGCCCCTGATGAGTTCATTGAGAAACTTGCTACTGTGAGTATTGTGTTCATGAGAAACAAAATGTTAAATCATTTTGGTAGGCTGTATCCGGAGTCTAACAAAACTGTTTTCATGCCGAAGACCCTCAGAAACAAAAACATTAGGTCTGGTTTTCAGCCACTGTCCCTATGCAAACAGATTGAGTTTATCAGCAATATAAAAGAGTAAATGTTACATGTGTGTATTATGCATAACTTTAAATACATTGATGTGAGAGTGTTCGTTTATCTGAGGTGTCTGTAGTACATTTTGCATTTAAAAAGACCTTATGGGGCCAGTTCCGCAAATTACAAAAGAAAAGTGCCTTTAGTGGTATCTAGCATGTAGTTACTTTTAATTACAGTTACCTTCCTTATTTTGTGAATTTCTACCACGGATTTGTGACTGAATTATGTTTTTTGTGTCCTCAGGTGTACTGGTTCACCGTGGAGTTTGGCCTGTGTAAGCAAGGCTCAGAAATCAAAGCTTTCGGAGCTGGCTTGCTTTCATCATTTGGAGAGCTGCAGGTAAGAAGAAATGGGGGGGTTAGGATCAAGGTTAGACAAAACATGGCCCCCGCAGCAGCTAGATGATATAGTTTAAAGACACAATTGAAAGAAGGTTCACGTACAAAATATCAGTGTTTGCTCAGCATGTTTCTCTGATCATTTAAGATGACGTCCAATGACTAAAATCATTCATCCGGTTCAAATATATAGTTAAAAACAACCAACATTTAAACATTTTAACTGGAAAATGTGGCTTGAAGTATATTTTTGACAGTTTGACGCATGCTCAAATGGGATATGTTGCCATTATAGGAGAATTAAACAAACAGAAATACAGTATTTTGGATAAAGTTAGTACCAAATCTATAAAATATATATCAAAGGTCTTGTCCTTGTTAGCAGACAAGTTACATATACCTTAAACCCCTGATAATACATGCAGGGTGTTGCACAACAAAATGGGTCAGTGGTTTACTCTGATTCTGGTTTTGTGTGTCGCTGGTGGAGGGGGCTCACTGTTCAGCAGGGTGCATGTAAACTAGTTCAGTAGGTGAGTGGGGGCAGAGAGGAACAGAGAGAGGACTTACATGTCGCTATCGAGTTCACCGTTACATCAGCGGCTGTAACAGAGGATGTGCACTTTGTCACATCCAGCCCTGAATCACGCCGCACTTCCTGTTCCCTGCAGTATTGATGGGGACAGAGACACTCATTTAGAGACATTTAAAGGAAATAACCTTTTTTTGCTGGTATTTTTCAGTACTGCTTGACAGACAAGCCCAAAGTCCTGCCCTTTGACCCCACCAAGACCAGCTTTCAGAAATACCCCATCACCGAGTACCAGCCTGTGTACTTTGTCGCCGAGAGCTTTGAGGATGCCAAAGAGAAAGTGAGGTAAGAAAATGTCGTTATTTTACTCCTGCATATAATTGGAAGTTTAGGTTTCAACAAAACGTGTAACATTAATGACTGTCTGCCTGCAGGAAATTTGCAAACACCATCCCGAGGCCTTTCACTGTGCGCTACAATCCGTACACTCAGAGCATCGAAGTGCTGGACAACACCCAGCAGCTCAGGAACCTGGCTGACAGCATCGGCAGTATGTCACTCATTTACATTTAAACTGAAATATATCATATTATAAAGCAGGTCACAAACATCTGATGTCCACTTCCAGATGTTAATAACTATAGTTGAGAAAAATTGAGAAAGATTACGGTAACACTGCCAGTTTAAAGAAAATAAGTGCCCATTAAATTCAACTTCTGTTTTGAAAATCTGATTTTAAAGTAAAAAGGATGATGGTATGGTCCAGATGGATAACATAACAGTGCTTTTCTTTGTTTAATCATTTGAAAAGAACTATTTTTGATGACCTATATGGAGCAATTAATGACATTTAAGGTAACTCAATTTGATTTTTATATTTCAGGTGAAATGGGGAAACTGTGCGAAGCCCTGCGGAAACTGCAAAACTGAGCCGAAGCATGCTGAGAATCTCTACATTTCTTCAATCAAACGGTTTATTATCTGGCTTCTTGGAGTCCTGATTAGCTTGCCTGCTACTTTACTTTATTTCTATTAAAACAAATATGCAAGTGAAATAATGGCAATATTAATGTAATCCAATTAGTATTTTAGTTAGGTGAATAGTGTAGCCTGTGTCTTGGGTAGGATGATAATGAATGTGCAGCTAGAAATGTTACAGTATTACTAGCCTACAGTATAAGTGTTAAGAAGATACGTGTTTTTTAAAATAAGAGGGTTTGTTAATCAAAATCTCTTATCAGCTAATTTGATTTCTAATATTATATGAATACAGCTGAAATAATCAGATGTATTTCTATGCACTTCAAAGCCAAAGGAACCAATGCATTTTGTTACAAGTTACATTTTGCTTTGGTAAATTAAATGGTCTGTGTATGCATGAAATGATATATTGAAATAAATAAAAAATGTTCTTCTCTCTATCTCTTTGTCTTCTATGAGTTTTTACTTCTCACATGTTCTATGTTTAATATTATGAATATTGAACTAAACAGATAATGAAGGACACTATGTGAGTAAAAAATATATAGATGTGTTCAAAGGAGACGTTACTGTATATAAATGCATATAGTTTGTTATAGACTACTAAACATTTGAAGTATTTAACCTTATTATAAGCAACATTGGCACATTTTTGCTGTTGGTCATTTTGTTAAAAGATTTTGTATTCTTAAATTAGGAATATTGTAAATGGGGCCTCTTTTCAATATATTTAACTACTGTTTCACTCTGGTGATTGAACCAAGACCTTTTATTTGTCATGTATCTTATATTGTATCTTATACTATACCATATTCCATTCACTATGTACCATACTTGCATATTTTATACTATCCCATATAAATGAACAATACAGGTTTTGATAAAGAAAAAATAAGAGAGTAGTATAAAGTCCCTATAGGCAAAACTATATATGAACTTCTAATAACCTAGTTTTATTAATTTAAGACTATGTAACCTATTATGACCTATTTTGCTCGAATGCACCTGTGTTGGTGTCCATTTCCTCCCCCGATAGCACTATTTTAGTCCTATAAAGAGATGTAATCATGACGCAAGCCAGGCCTCAAAAGCCAAATGTGCCGCCCTCGCGCACCTCATCTCCATATCACCCCCTCACACATCCGGGTATTTAAAGTGTCCGCGGGGCATGGAGGCGCACACACCGCGGTGAGGCTTCAGCTGCAGCGGGCAGATGAAGACGGAGGGCGGGGTGCAGCCGGCGCCCTTCAGCGGGAGGAGGCAGAGTCTGATCGAGGATGCCCGCAGAGAGCGAGGCTCCGTGGGCTCCCCTGGGCCTCCGGGGCCTCCGGGGCCCTCTCGGTACGGAGACATGGGCTTCGTGTTCGAGGAGAAGGACGGCAGGGTCACTCTCAACCTCCTCTTCACTCTCAGCAATGAGAAAAACGCAGGATTCTTCAAAACTGGTAAAATATTCGAGGTAAGTCCCAAATTCTGAGATCTTCAAATTGTGTAAAACTAATGACATGAAACTGTGAAAATGTTACAAGAGGCTACAAGCTTAATACACAGGTTTAACAAGTAGAAAGATGGACTTAAGGTTTCAAAATAATGTTTGATAACTATAACTGATTAAGGAAGTGTTTTTCAACACGTCTCCACTCTAAAAAACGAAGTAATTTAAGTAAAAGAAAATCAACAAATTCTCAGAATTACAGAAGCTGGAATGATCTTTTACTGTATTTGGCTTAATTGTTCTTGTTCCAATAATAGCTTATTTGGTAACAGGCATAATAATTAGCATTCAACACATATTTCCATTACAAAAGGTATTGAATGTACTTTTATGATATCTAAAGTTGAAGATGTCAATACAAATGTAAACGATGAAATAGGAAGAACGTGTATAGACCTACTAGTTTAAAACAATAATGCAAAAACATGAATTTCTTCATCATAATGTCAACAAGTAAACTACATTATGGGATGAAGACCCTTCTTCTCAATGTCAAATTATTGATTAAAATAAATTGTTTACCATATTATGCTCTTTTTTTGTATCTTTCACAGACGTTTGAAGCTAAACTTCTCCACATTGAGAGCCGGCCGGGGAGGAAGTCAAAGAACAGCACGACAGACCTGGAGTTCTTCATGAAGTGTGAAGTTCACAGCTCCGACCTGGACGTGTTCATCAACTCACTGAAGAGAGTGGTGGACGACGTTCGCTCCATACCGGAGGAAAAAGGTGCAAGATATTATTATTACTGTGCACTTTATGCATTTCATTAGTCCTATTCAACTGTCTAGTGAGATACGCTTAGGGCATCTTATGCAATTTTACAAGCCTTATTTAATTAATGTATTTTTTGTAATGTTACATGATAAAAAGACCAATTACAAAAGCACTAATTCATTATTTTCCCTCTCTTTAGTTCCCTGGTTTCCCCGACAGATAAAAGACCTCGACAGATGCAACATGCTAGTAACCAAATTTGATCCAGACATGGACCAGGATCATCCAGTGAGTGTTTACATATGGTGCAAAATGTCACACTCTTAAATCATATTTATCAGAAAACAATACAACCTAGTTATGATACTTATTAACCCTTTCTTGCAGGGATACAGCGATCCAGAATACAGAAAACGACGGGCATTCATCTCTGAGCTTGCCTTCAGATACAAACAGTAAGTCAGAAATGTATCCATGTTCCTTAAAAACTGAGTACCATTTAAATATTCTCTTATTAAATGATTCTCTTTATCACAGGGGGGACCAGCTGCCCACTGTGCAGTACACAGCAGAAGAAGTGTCCACATGGTAAGAATTGGCCAAACACACTGAAAAAACTATCTTGTATTATGTCACATAACCATGGGCGTAATTTCCACTGGGGACAGGGGGGACATGTCCCCCCCACTTTTCAAAATCCCATTTGTTGTGAGCATATTCTAATGGTTTTTTGATTATTGAAATATATACAGTTCTGTTTCATCGGGGTGTTGAGAACTGTATCCATAAATCTCTTAATGTTGCCCTCAAAGTGCACCAGATTGATGCATTCAACTTCAATTTAAAGAAAAAAATCTTCCCGGGGGTGCATGCCCCCGGACCCCCCTAGAGAATGTGAGGTTATCACAAATAAGACAGGTTCACATGGATAGGATACTAGATAAGTGTGCACACTACACATTTTTCTTGGATCCCTAATATATCTGTAGAAAGGTAGGAAATGGAATTAAATTGAGAAAATGTTTCATTGCGGAGGACCCCCTGTTTTGTGTCCCCCCCACTTCTCAAACCAAAGTTACACCCTTGCACATAACTGTATTAGGTTGGTTGAAAGCAATAATATTAAGTTGACCCTATATTTGTATTTAAACCTAATATTATTGCTTTCAACTAACCTAACATAGTTATATGAAATATGTTGATATAGTACATTTAACTAGTCAATGTTTCAGTTTCTTCAGAGCAGTCAGTATGAATGCAGATGCGTGTTGGAGGATGGTTAGAGTGCAATGATGTGTTGCTGTGTTTGAAGGAGGGAGGTGTACCTGCAGCTGAGGAGCATCTACCCCAGTCTGGCCTGCTGGCAGTTCCTGGACGGGCTGCAGCAGCTGGAGACAGAGTGCGGCTACGGAGAGGAGCGCATCCCTCAGCTCAGAGACATATCCGCCTTCTTGAAAGGTGACAAACACTCTGACTAATGAGAGCTTTTGGTCTTCAAAAGATAATACAACTCGAAAAAGTAGAATAAATAAAGTTCGAGAAAAACTTTTACAAACAAGAATTATGATAACATTTGGCCTTCAAAATAAAAAAAACTAGAATAAATGAACATTTATGCTTTACAAAATATCTTGCAAAATTAGAATATTTTGGTCTTTGCAAAGGTAAAACTAAGGATGTGAAACAAGTATCTTTATAACATTAAATGTCAAACAAAGTATGGAACACCGACTTACATTTTTCATGACATGATCGATGTGGGGTTTAAAGGTAAATATGTCAGAATAGCAATGAGCTCTGAACAGCGATAAATAGAAAAAGATGATAGAGAGCGCGAATGTATTCTGGATCCTCTATCCTGAGTTCTGGATCTGAGCCCTGGACTTCGAGTCGTGGCTGAACCTGTCACTGTGGTCCTGCCTGACTCTCATCATACTACTTCCCTGATGGCTCCCACAGGATTGTTGACATCCTCGTGGATTCATCTTCTTATTATACACACATGCATTTACAAACATTTGGTCTTCCTATGCTGTAAAATGTATTATCTTTTCAATTTCCACACGGCATCTATTGCACGTCTGTCCGTCCTGGGAGAAGGTTCCTCCTCTGTTGCTCTGCCTGAGGTTTCTCCCATGTTCCCCTTTAAACTGTGGGTTTTCTCTGGAAGTTTTTCCTTGTACGATGTGAGGGTCAAAGGACAGAGGGTGTCGTATTGTCATACTGATATTCTGTACAAACTGTGAAGTCCACTGAGACAAATTTAACATTTGTGATATTGGGCTATATAAATAAATATTGTTTGATTGATTGAATGATTGAAGTTATGACTTAAACGTCATCTTCAATGTACTGCTCCATATTCCTATGCCTCCAGTTGGCTTTGCAGTGTGTTTTGAAGTGTTTCTCTTGTTTCAGAGAAGACTGGCTTCCAGCTGCGCCCGGTGGCCGGCCTGCTGTCAGCCAGAGACTTCCTCTCCAGTCTTGCCTTCAGAGTGTTTCAGTGCACTCAGTACATCCGCCACGCCTCAGCACCCATGCACTCCCCTGAGCCGTGAGTGGAAGCTTTCTGGGACCTATTTTATTCATTAATGTATTCAGCTGCTTGTTCTGTCATTGACTTTGTTCCTACTCTGACAGAGACTGCTGTCATGAACTGCTCGGTCATATTCCCATGCTGGCGGATAAAGAATTCGCCCAGTTTTCTCAGGTAACAGTGCTGCGCTTTGATTTGACATAACAAGAGGGTAATGTAGTTGAATTACCTTTAATACTAATTCCTTTGAACTCTTTTAGGAGATTGGACTTGCCTCGCTTGGAGCTTCAGATGAAGACATTGAGAAACTGTCAACGGTACGTTTTTATTAATGTTTTAAACCTGAAATTAATTAATTATTTTTAATATTCAGAGATAATTTCCTTGTATGGGAGGTGAAAACATCACACAAAAAAAGAAACTATAGAATTTAACATTACATAATAATGCACCTCTTAACTTCATATACATATTTGGATTACCTTTATGCTGTGAAGTATTGCTTATGTTATCCTGTTATACTGCGTAACTATTTTCATATCACAAACACATATTTTATAATTTTTTTAAAAGTTTTATTGTACATTTTGCTTCATATACCTAGTTCTTGACGTGCAGTATTTGTATTTCTTTATGCCCCCCAATACAAAGGCTAATACTTGTATGTACAAACATATTTGGCAAACCGATTTGGATTCAATGAATGCCAAATGTTAATAGTGAAGCTTTTTTTTTATCAGTGATCCATGGGCTCTCTTAACTCAGTGCATTAAATAGATCTTCACTGCCATCTGGTGGCTTAAACAAAGGACTGCACATTATGTTTAATCATGCTCTCATTCAGAATATATCTTCGACTGACTTTTTTTATGTGCTTGTCCTTTTCAGTTATATTGGTTCACTGTGGAGTTTGGCCTCTGCAAGCAGAACGGAGCAGTGAAAGCTTACGGCGCCGGACTCCTGTCGTCTTACGGAGAGCTCGTTGTGAGTGTGTTTTTATAAAAGTTTGTCTTTATTAAACAATGTCTATGCATAACATTTTTATTATTCACTCAAAGAAAAGAGCTAAATTATGCCAGATTTAGCTACAGGCTCATTTCCATCTGCAGTCTCTTCTGTTCACACACACACATTTTGCTTCATATTCTTTCTGCTTTGTGTACTTACACTGCTTGACCTTTGACCTGTCTCTTCAGTACGCTTTGTCGAATGAGCCGGAGTACAAGCCATTTGTTCCTGAGGAGACAGCAGTTCAGCCGTACCAGGACCAAACATACCAGCCTGTTTACTTCGTATCCGAGAGCTTTGAGGATGCTAAGACCAAAATGAGGTACACATAATTATTAATTAAGTAGTGACCATGAGACTAGTATTGGTCCAACATTCCACAATCTGTCTTTAATTACTTCATAGAGATCTTAAAGTTTATTTTTCACAATATTTGTAACACATCTGTATGTCTGCTCCTAAAACTCTTTCCTATGCATTCATTCACTTCAACAGGAGATACTCTGCCACCATCAAGCGTCCCTTTGCAGTTCGCTACGAGCCGTTTACCTGCAGCGTGGAGGTTCTGGATCAGCCCAGCAAGATCCAAACCGCCCTGAGCCAGATCAGAGACGACCTGAAGACCCTTCACAGCGCTCTGGAGAAGTTCAGCTTCTCTGAAGAGCGGGAACAAATGGTCTGCAGAGAAAGGAGAGTCATGCAGGAAGAGAAATAGATGGACAGTGGCCTGTGTAAATAGTACTAAATACTATCTATAAGATCAACTACCATGATCAACATGTACAGAAAAGCAAAATGTAGTCCGGTTTGTGAGTCTCATAATGGCCATTTGTTGTGTGTAATGTATTATATAAAAATAAATAAATGTTTATTTTCATGAAGAAGTCTCTTTGAAAGTGTTTTATATTCCAGAGAAACAGAAGAGAAGAAATCAGACCTCAGGAAAAGTACAATTCCTGCTTTCAAAACCTTCATTTAGTCAAAGTATTTGCAATATTTACTTAAAGTGGCAAAAATAACAGTATATAATGTTTTTTGTCCGTGTGTAAAATGTTTTTGGATTGATATTTCTGCTGCAATAATGCATATTTCTTTCATTTTTAAAGACCTTAGATACAGTATCATAAGAAGTAGGATAACTTTTTTAAACATAAAGGAACACTTCATTCCTTCAGTAGAATCACTAAATTGGGAATACATGTTATTTTACTGGACAGCAAGGGTAGGAAAGATGTAATCGGAAAAGTAACCAAAGCTGTCATTATGTTTTTCAGTAAAAAGTACAACATTTGCTTCTGAAATGTAGCAGAGTACAAGTATAAAGTTGCATTAAATGCAAAAACTCATGTACACAATTTGTACGTTCTATCTATCCTCTACTAAAGATAGAAAAAAGGTTTCAAAGTGTTGGTCAATGTTTGCCAGCAGGAGGAATAAGAGCATACAGAGCTTGAAGAAGGTAATAATCTAGTTTTAATTTCAAACCAACTATTGCCATTTATCTTCATGTGTTATTAAGCAAAGGGAAGGAGCTGATTATGGATGATTTAGGTATCATGTTGCCAGGGCCGTCCTTCCCTACAGGCCGATCATGCAGGCTGCACGGGGCCTCACGCAGGGGGCCTCGGCTTATGCGCTCGGCTTGTGCGCAGTTCTCAGGTGGGTTATTGTATGAGTCAAATGTACAACTTGCGAATGTTGTACAAGTGAAATGTCAAACTTTTGCCAATTGCCATATCATCAGCTGCAATTCACGACATGAAGAAAGCAGTCTCTGCATAGCATATAGGCTAATGGAGATGCAGTTATTTCCAGCATTCTTTATTTACCATTCATTCAAGTATTGTATGCCTTTTATCTGCTAATGGACAGGAGGAAGAGTGATAAACTGTCTGTCTAGTTGGCTTACATAACAGTTACAGTTTACAGCCTAAAAAACATGGAGCATTTTTCCCCCTTTTATTCATTTTTATGTCAATTTGCACATTTCATGGTGATGCTCAGCCTCTCCCCTTAACTCCTAACAGTCATCATCATGTCAACCACAATACAGAGAATTACTGATAGAAATGTGTGTGTAGTTGTTGATACATTGCTGACAGAGGGAACTACATTTGAATACAGATTTAAGAAATATCAGTTTTTGAGCAAGTAATAAGCATGTTTTGTCTTGACTATTACAACTATATTATAATAAAATAATATAGTATTTATATTATTGAATTGATTATGATTATTAGAAGAAGTAGTTTATTTGCATTAATTATATTTTTATCTTTTTGAGGCTAGTATTTGGCAGGAAATGCAGACGTATTCACCTGTAAACGTATACTGAACGACATACATGCACATTTACCATTTACCTCACAAAAAAGTAACTGTGTTGATGATAATAATAATAATAATAATAATAAACAGGAATTATATCTGCAAAGTATTTTGTTTCCAAAACATTTTTTTTTCACTCCTGTTGGTTGGGGGGCTCATCTCACAATGTCGCTTGGGGCCCCAAGTTGACCAGGGACGGCCCTGCATGTTGCTAGGCCCATTAGCGGGGCCAGGTCACCGCGACCTCCAGCCCACCACAGCACGGCCCGCACCGCTGCACTGCTGACAGATGCTCTTCTCTCTTTATTGCTCTTTCTCTGCTCAATTTGGCTTTTTCTGGGTTTTGTGACGGATATCCACAAGTTGATCTCAACAAAGGCACCAATGCATATCAGAAGTGCGCACGGTGAAGCTTAGAAAAATAAATAAAGACAAATCATCTCCATCTGCAAGACTCAAAATGCGTCACGAACAACAAACCCTCCCATCAGCCACCTGTGTTGTGAAACTTTCCCATACATTTCCACTACGCAATGAATTAAATCCTGCTGCGACCTGCCAAGAAAACCCTGTCTGTTATAAAATACAGTAACTAAATATATCAATTGAAGAGTTACCAAAAACGTGTGTGTGTAGATAAAGAGTTAGAGGAGGGGGATAAAGCAAGTAGAGGGAAGGAGTGATCTACTGGCTGACAAGTGTCAAAACACAGCAGCACACACGTATTATTTATTGTATCTTATTCCTCATCCAGCGCTCTTTAGTATTCAAATCCCCTCTATACCAGCGCCAGGATCAGAATCTGCTGAGTACTAAAAATATGCATGGTTGCCGAAGCAACGGCGTGACCTGGGAGGGATCCAGTTTCATTTCTGTGCCTCGAGTACGTACCACGAATCCCAAAAGCTTTATCATCCCGAGACCAACCATAAATGTTTCCTTCACTGATGTCAGGAGCGTCCCGTCCCCTCCTCATTTTTATTTAACCAGCTATATACACCTCTATAATTTTTTACATGATCAACTGATCGAACTATATTTACTATATAGTAGGCTATATATACTGTATGTATTTATATTTTTTACTTCTAATACAAATCTTTCAGTGTTAAAATGTAATAGTTCATTGCTTTTGGTGAGGGCGTTCTTTCATCAATATGCAATTTTCTTGAACCAATAACGGTCTAAAAACGAAGAATGTATTGGTTATTATAATTATTTCTTAAACCTTATGCCGTACGCCAAAAGTTGTTATTATGACTGCTCTATTATTACAATGTCAAACCCCTTTGTTATATCCATCCAGAAAGACAAGTATAAAAAGGATAATGTGTGAGTTTAAGGAGGAGTTCCATATTTCTCTACATGTTAAGGTTGAAGATACAAGCTGGACATATAGGGAACAATCAGGGAAAAAACAGGGACATATCAGGATGCATTTTCCCAACAAGTCTGACCTAAAAACAAAGGTTCTTCTAAAAAAGCAAAGCAAGTCAACCCAATAGTAAGGTTCTAAATGCTTGCGAGACAACGATACAAAATAAAACCGATTGAGGTATTTTCCGAGGGATGGTTGACAGATTTATGTGGCATCTTCTGGTCTGGCAAGGGATCACAACCATTGAAACATTAGCGAGAACATGATCACAAACAAGGCTTAGAAGCTAGACTCAAGAGTGCTCCAAGCTAAATAAAAACTGGAAGACCAAGGTGACCTGGCAAAGCACACAGACTGAGGGGTTGAGGATCCACATTATGCCAAACACAAGGAATGTTGAAGGTTTATGTCCCACAAGGGAGAAAGAGGAACAACTAATTACAGAGCAAGGCCAGCTGTTTCCTCCTTGTTTCAGGGTTCATTCCAGTTTCCTTCTCAATTCATCTTTCCTCGTTTACTCGACTTGAAAGACGTCCCAATTTCTTAAATGTGATCAGGAGGTCAAAATCGAGGCTGCCAGAGACGAGCGTTATCACAACACCTGTGTAAATGCTCTACCCCCAACTGGCAAAATTGCACACAATTACATATTTGTCATTATTTTAACATGGTGTCCTTTTAATCTCATGAATACCAAGAGATGGATGAATGCTTTTCAATAAACAAACTAAGTTGAAGAGGGTTTATTTCGGGTTAAGCCCATTGATGTCTGATACAGCTATTGCAGACTTTATAGTAAGATATGTCTAGCATGTCCTGATTTGTTAGAGCAAAGATTTGTATTTTTCATCCCTCTGGCAAGCGTAAATCCCAAAACATTGATTTATTTCTTCTAAAAGAACATTTGTGTAGCCAGCACATGAAAACAGCTGGTTTGATGGTTTTTAATGTTCCCAAGCATGACAGCTGCTTTCTCTGGTGAGCCATCTTCAATATAACTTCTTAAATTAGCCACAATAAATAAATAAATGGGTTTCTCATAAGCCATCATGTACTGTAAGAAGTTCTTAATGCTAATAAGTCATTATTGATACTGAAGGTTGCTCACTTTCTAGTAAGCTAACAGTATACGACTAAAAAGTGACGGAGCACTGCGATCTCTGTTTGGCTCATCGATACCAACAGTCTTTTAATTCTGGGAAAAGCATTGCACAACAAAGCAGCCGTGAGATTTAATCAAACACCAGCCTCAAAGAGCTCTAATCTCTGTCTTTGTTTCCCCTCATATTATGCTCCTCATTATTTTGATTTGCTCTCTTTTTGTTGAGCCCGGGCTTAGAGTTGGCAGGGCCGCTGAAGAATTATCCGAGAAGGGAGATTAGGAGAAAGTTGGTGAGGAGTTTTTAAGGCGATCTGATCTCATTCGTTTGTTGTTAGTCCACACACGGCTAAAGAGATCCAAACTGTTTGTGAGGCTTCATTCAGGTTATATTGAGGGTGACAGGAGGCCCGGGGCAGTCACATCTGAGGACCCGTTTCCAGGAAAGGTGAGTTTATATGATCTCCAAGATGGATCAAATATTGTAGAAATCATGAGATGAGAATTCAATTTTGTTGCTATTCTGCTCATCAGCCATCAGATGGTGTTGTTGAGTCACTGGAAGGAAACGAAGGCGGAAAGTGGCTCAGTGAGCAGTTCAAGTGTCCTCTGAAGGAGCTCCTAGTCTTTCGAAATCCTTCAGTGCACAGATGAAAATGGCATCCTTACACATCTCTGTGTTACATGCAGCTGCTCGGGCACCACTTGCACCTGAAGCACAGCAAACGTAGAGAGTGGAACCACATTGGACTTGTTCAAACAAAAGTGCGGAGCAGGAGAGCAGTAGCATGTTATGCTTTGTGGACTGCGGTGAACGCGTCCCGTCCAAGAAATATATAGGGCTGACGAACCGGTTTTGAAAGAGTGGAGGTCTCCACGGTCTCCACCTGCTATGTTCTGTCGCACAGAGGCGATGCTGTACAATACAACCTAGTGTTTCAGCTGCCTTGTACATTAATAAAGTACAATAAACGCCTCTGTTAAACGGCAGAGTATGAATGCACACTGCAAGATTAAGTTCATC